TTCTTTTTCAGTTACTTTTAACCCACATCTCATCTGATTGCACTTGAAGTAAACCTCTGCGTTCTTCTAGTTTAGCCTTCTATACATGTGCCCGATTGTAATAGAACTCTAGCATAAATCATTGGTGGTGAATGGCCTGTATTTGTATAGCGCTTTTACTAGTCCCTAAGGACCCCAAAGCGCTTTACACATCCAGTCATCCACACATTCACACACTGGTGATGGCAGCTACATTGTACCTACACCTGCACTGACAGAGGCGAGGCTGCCGGACACTGGCGCCATCGGGCCCTCTGACCACCACCAGTAGGCAACGGGTGAAGTGTCTTGCCATCCGGGGCTCGAACCGGCAAGGTTCGATTACAAGACGAACTCCCAACTCTTGAGTCAAACGTCTTTCTTTCTTTCTTTCTTTCTCAGGATGTACCAACCTGTACAGTTTGCTTCTCTAATATTGCAGCAGTTTCTTGGATGCATTTTCTCTGTTTTGGCAGTTTATGGATGGCTTGTTCCACCTGCTCCCTTGACTGCGTGCTGTCTGTTCACAGAAAAATCTTCCACATGCAAGCACCACCTCAAACCAGCTCCAGACCTTTTATCTGCTTTACTGATCACTGTCATGATGTCTCTGCAGGCGACAGGAATAGGACGCAAACGCAGGACTCAGAACACTAAAGGAGGCAGTAAAACATCTGGACGTTAGATAAGGTTAAACGACTCGATTCCCTCATTTGAAGGTAAATACCTCAGTATTAGTAGGTAAATACAGTTATACTGTAATTTCTGTAATATGCTGGAATTACAAATAATTAAAGCGTACTTAGGGCCAAAATAGGAACCCCACATTTTATTGTGTTTTGTGCTATTTAAACATATTATAAGGTGTCATGTTTAAAGTATTAGTTCTTTTCAAGTTACTAATCCGATTACCACTTTTGTTGCTTTTCATTAAAAAAAGCAAAGACCTAAAAACAAAGAGCAGTGAAAAGAATAACTGTGCTGCCATTCATTTATTGCATTATTCACTGCTGGACTGTGAAAGCTGCGCCACAGCTGAACGCTGACAGAGTGAGGGACACAGACACCAACATTACCCACGTGGTAGCCTCCGTCTCAGTCCGTGTAATCGCCTAATTAATTCTCACTATTAAAACAATAATAGCAAATTTACATTTCATAGTACAGAGTTAATAAAAAAATATCGTTCTCTTCTCTCTCTCTGCTGTCTTCTCCCAGTGCAGCCCAGCTCATCATATTTATATCAATATTCAAAATGTTCAACCAAAAAAGAAGAATATTTGACTCCATTGGACACGTGACTCGTTTTTATAATCAGAGTGAGAGGTTCACAGAGCTGCAGATGTGTGAGACGAAGCTCAGTGTTGCAACAAACACAAAGCATAAGACGAGCATCTGTTCAGTGTAAGTTACAGTTCAGAAACAGTCGTTTAATCAGACACACGCTGCAATGGCGTTATTAAAGGTTCACATATGAATCTGATGTTTACATCCCAAAACATACAGCTTAGATTTATTTTAAACTATGAGTGAAAACTCCAGTGGCTGTAGGTGACATACAGTTGTTACAGTCCATGACAGACTTGCTTTTATCCGTCAAGCTCACAATCTCAGACATGAAAGGATGACAGTTACTCTTTTTTAATGATAACATCTGCAACAGGGAAAAAGCCCACCAGTACCAGAGTAATAACCAAACCAGCAGCTCGCTGTGAAACAAGAAGCAACACAGGAGCTGTTGATGACAGGACAACTCAGTTATCACGAAACATGAGAGAGAACATATCAACACACGGTCAGTGAGAGAGCCATAGTTTTGTAATGTGTTGAAGTTCATCTGCAAATCATAAAACATGGAGCGTACCCACACATTACTGCAAGTGTGATCTGAAGGTCCCTGTTAGTGTCACAGTGATAGGAGTGCAGTTGTTGTCAGGAGTTCAATCCACGGTTCAGGCTGTTACACTGCAGGTGAGTTATTGTTCTTATTATACACAGTGCCCCGTTTACAGAGGATCTTCTCACCAGAATGCACAACATAAGAACGTATAATAATATTCACAAAATAATAATAATATAAATAAAATACTAATATGTAAAACAGAAAAGAAAGCGACCACGTGTACAAACCGAGAGGAGGAGGCATCACCATGACAACACCCGTGTACATTCACCTGGTAACATCAAAGAAGGCAAGAAGGCCTCCTGCTCCCCCACAGGTCCACTCACGCCCCCTACAGGGTGCACCCCCCCACAAAAAAACAACAACAACAAAAAAGATTTAAACAAACAAACCAGCCCAGCAGTTTGTAGCTGCCTTGACCTTCAAAATAAATCTTAGCACAGAAAAACAGGGTGTATTATCATCATCACAGCATGCTCTCAAGGCAGGTCTACAGAGTAACAAGGACCCTTTGTGATTAGGGGGTGACTCCACTCATCTCAGAGACACCAGTGGAATCAAAGACTTGGTTTTTAACATTTCATAAAGGGTTCAAATTCACACACTCAAAGTATAATGTTGCCGTCCTAGTGCAGAGTCCATCTGAAGCCTGAAATACTGAAGCTCAGGTGCTGAGTTCAGAGAGTTTTGGTCCTCCTCAGGGTCGCGGTGCCATACTCTCAGGAACGCATAGCTCAGACCAGTGGGATCAGGGGTCCCCCCTCTGCCCTCCCCTCTGCTCTCTGATGTTAAAGTAGCTCATTTTAACAGAGGGTGTCTGTGTTGAAAGAGAGCTGCACCTGCCAAACACACACAAATATACACACCAGAAAATCACTACACGTGCTAACACGTAGTGGGGATGGCTTTGTCAGGGAGCGCGCATAAGAAAATCCAGAGTTTGTTTGAGAACAGTGTGAGTCTCCACAAACTACCTGCCCACCGTCTGAAGTCTGACAGACTAACAACCTGTTTAGGGTGCACTCCTGCTCTGTTACCTGATGATAGATGGGCTGAGATCCTGTGTGAACACTTACATTTATGTAACACTGTCAGCGTTAGATGGTTCGCTCCTTTAGAGGCCACTGCTGCATTGGAAACAGGCTGAATGTATTTAAATCATTAGCTTTTACACGTGTAGAGGAAACCATGCTGGTTAAGCACATTTGTTTACTCTGTCTGCTGGTGAAAAGCTACTCCAGTGTTAACTCTTCACTGTTGTCTCCTGAGGTTTGTGATGAGGGTCATGGAGTACCTGTCCTTCTACAGTAGCAGCAGTGTTTCCATTGCTTGCTGCAAGCTACACTGATGCTACAACATCTCGTGGTCACACTAAAGTATTTGCTAGCCCAAGTTCTGGGTGATATCTCCTCCACACACTATATCTCTGTTTGTCTCATGTTACTTCCAGACTGTTTCACAGATGTGGGGCCTGCTGCACCTTCACCTGTGAACTTCAATGAACACAGAAACAGAAAACTCTAGGCAGGATCTGCTCACCCGTTCCTCTTCGAAGCTAATGAGACCTTCATCATCATCGCTCTCCAGCTCTTCTGGCGCCTCGCTGATCAGAGCGTTGAGTTCTGTGTTGGCCGTTCGAGCCTTTAGAAGGCTGAAGATGCGCTGCAGGGGGGACTTTCCGCTGCCCAGCGGCGACACATCCTGCTGCTCAAGGTTATCGCTTTGTTTCTTGGCAAAGTTAACAAACACCTGGATGGAAAAAAAGATCCTGTACTTAATTTTTTATTTAAGATATTCCTTTTTGAAGTCTTGGATGAAACTGAGTCACTCACATTATCCAGAGTAGTCTGACTGACAGAGTAGTCCTCAATACCCAGCACCTCCACCACCTGCTCCATCTTACTAAAGACCTGAGCCAGGGACATGCGCTCAGACTTCAGCTGGTACTGCACCTTGGTGTGGTGACGCTCCTGCAAATATCATAACACGGTTTACAGTTTACCACATTTTTCAGCTGTGGTATTGTAACTGTGGCCAGTGACTCCAATTATAGGGATATGGACCAGCTCTTGATCCTGTGGTATTACCTATTAGGTTAGTAATTAGTAGCTAACTCAAGCTGGTGTTGAGTAGGGCTGCCACAAATGATTATTTTGATAGTTGACTAATCAGATCATCATCCATTGGACGTAAAACTACAGCTTATTGCACCAGCAGCATCTGCTCTTATATAACTATCATTAGCTTACAGCT